GCTGAAGCATTTGCCTTGATGCAGCCAAAATCTCCCAGCAGCTCAGACATTTAGGAATAGTATTTTTAACGAGCACTGAGGCACATGTAGGCGTTTCGGGGTTTTTTTGGTGGTGCTGTGCTGCTCTTGGTTTGGTTTTGTAGCATGATGCTCTCTTTGTCATAGGTATGGATCACTTTGCTGGGCCAGATGGATCTGGGAGTGTTTGGGAGCTGTGTGTTATCCATAAGTATGACACATACGTGCCTGCTTCCCCCTTCCTGCCTGGGGTTAATGCTTCCCTCAGCAAAGGTGCAAGAAAGGACAAGTATCTCAATCTCCTTAGTTCCCGTGTCCTGTGAAGCCCCCTAGAAATCTCTTGGTTCCTGTGCCCTCCGAAGCTAGCAGCTGAGCTCTGAAGATGATTTCCCCCGGTCTGTATGTGCACTTAAAACATCTGTTCTGCTTATCCTGGCCAGACCCCTATGTCATGTGTATCTACTGCAGATGGAGAGATTAGTGTCTGCTGATCTAAGTGGATGTAGGAACAGTCTCCTACAGCCATTAGCTTAGCAATGGAATTGCTTTGAAGCAGGTTTAGTGGTTGAAGCTCAAGTCTGGGAATTGACTCCTGGATGGTTGTTTCTGGCTTAATGGAAGAACTCGAGGCCTTTTGGGTGAACTAGGTCTGGACTGTGCTGTATTTTCCTTGGCTGTAAAATGTGAAGGAGAGCCCCTCTTCTGTAATAGAAGTGCTCCCATTGACTTAATGAAAGGTCAGCTTCAGGGTTTAAAAAAATAAGCTGACCTCTGTTGCTTATCTCATTAAAACAATTATTTTAATTTTCTTTAACTTAAAAATTCAGCTGTGGTAAGTGATAGCTCCAGCATAGCCTTTAAGACTAGGGAGATGGAGAGGTGGCTAACAAAGAGTTTCCCTGTGCCACAGCTTTGTGCCTTGAGGTGTGCCGGGGCAGTTCTCTGGTAAGTGAATTCTGCACAGAAAGTTCAGTACAAGTATGTATATACCTATATACACACACAGAATGCAAGTTTGGTTTGAGAGAGCTTGACGATTGCTTGGTGGTAGATTGTGGGTTTGTGTTCAGAGGAATTAAGATCTTACGCCTGCCAAAGCATGCATGCCTGGCTTAAACCATGTAAGTAATCTTGTCATCAGGGGCATTGAATTTGAAGAATCAAGGCCTAAATATTTAATAGCACATGTGTTAGAAACGGTGTTCTCTCCAATTCTTTCTTTGCAGCAAGGTTTCGAAGCGCCTTAGGCGATGGCAGGGGCAGCAGAGAATTGTAAAACTTAGGGTGCAATCTAAGATATATGAAAAATGACTAACTTCTCATTTGTTGGCAAGCTGATTGCGATTTTCTTTGGCATGTTGAATCCAAACCATGCAGCATGTAGGTACTTCAGTGTCTTGTGTTACAGGATACTCTTGTCAACCGTGTCTAATAATAGTAAAGTAGCGTGGCGTTTTCCTTAGTTTCTGACTGATGAGTATAACGTGTATTGACACACGTGTGTCTTTTTGTCTTTACTAATGTAAAGGTAGAACTGTGTAGGTTTGCTCAGTGGCCAAGTGTCTCCCAACTAAGGGAGAGTTCATTCTCTTTTTCTCTCTCTCTCTGTACAAACAACAGGGAGAGTTACTTGCATGTAATTAGTTAAGAGCTGTCGGTCTCGATACAGAGTGTGACCCCAATGTGATAAACACTGTACGACGTAAATGCAGTTGGTACTTCCTTCAGTTTCTAAAGACTTAAAATTGCGAGATGTTTTTGCAAAGCATGATAAATTTGGGACCTTTTGCACAGCTTAATTTTGCAAAGTTTCCATAAAGGTTTTGACATGCTTGTTGGCAAAATGTCAGTCAGGGTCACAAGGGGCTGCCTTCTGCCTCTGCTTGGCTCTCTGGCTGAGGCACAGGGCTGGAATGGGAGGTCTGTTGCTGGGAAAATGTGGAGACATGCAAGGACAGTTTGGATTATTGGGGAAGACTAGAGAGCAGCCTTGTGGGTGTGCTGGAGAGGTGGTTGTAGCTATGATGGAGTATGCATGTACTGCTTATTGCTGCCTCTGGGCTCTCTATTTGCCATTGTGCATGCTTGCCTGACCCCAGCACTTTTAAAAGGGTCTTCGACAGGTTGTGGGATGACACCTGGAAGGAAGAAGAATGCTTTAAGAGGTATAGCAACCTGACTGTCTCTTGACATCAAAACCTTGCTGCTTCAGTCCAGCTTTTTCCCTTCTTCATGCTCCCAAATATCTTACAAGTTTTGCTCCCTGGCTGCCTGTGAAGTCTCTCTTCCACAACCGTCCAGTGTGCTCTGGAGAAGCTGGTGGCAAGAAGGCTCTTGAGACATCTTATCTTGTTCAGTATTGCTTTTTGGAGTTGCTCTGGATTTTCCCCAGGAAAATTGTTGATATTAACCTTTTTAATCCAAGGTGTAAGCTGTAAAATTCTGGGTCTTTTCTAATGTGACAGAGGAAGCTGCTATGTAAGTATGAGGAAAACAGGCTTTCTGAGCGAGAAGGGAAGAAAACAATAGCTCAGCCACCCTTCTGGAAAGCTCTGTTTTTGCCAGGCAGGGTACAGACAGGATTTTCCACCCTCCCTGCTCCAAATGTAGCAAAGAAGCTGAAAGTGCTGAGTTGGGTATTCCACTCCACCCCTGAGGGCCCTAGGTCCAGGAGGGTAAGCATATTTGGGAGTAGTTCCCCAAATTCATATTATAATCAGCCTATTAATAGTCTGGCTTGGTCCCACCCCCAGTGCTTTGGCTGTTAACTTTTCTTCTGAGAGACCTGACTGCCAAAATGAGCGTTCCCTTTGGCATCGATTCAGGAACGTCGGGAGGGAAAGTAAAAATTAAATTGAAGTCCCACTGAATGTGGTGCCAAGTCTTAGCTCACTGACTGCTGCTGCTCTGCTGCTCCTGGTAGGAAGGGTTGCCACGCAGGGGGAATGCTTTTTGGTGGTACGTGTGGGTAAGGAGCAGGGAATAGAGTAGATGCAAGAAAGGTCAAGCCTGGGAAAATGTGAGAGAGGTTGGGTGGGGATGCTGGCGAGACTTTTGAAAGCAACAACAAAGGGAAACAAAGGTGGGGGAGAGCGACAGTAGATAACTTTTCTGTTGAAAGGCTGGTAGTTTTGTGAGCTTGGATTTGCAGCTGAGGCTTTGGTTTGTCCCTATGGATAGGTACGCTGATGGCACCTGTCATCCACAATTCAGTACCTTCTGGATGGCTCAGAAACTATGTAGGAAAAATGTTGCTGGAGAAAACCCTCCTTTTCTGATGTTAGGGTGCTCTTTCCCCACCCTAGAGCTTTGCTAGTCTAGACAGCTCAAGAAAATGAATGGCTTCAAACACATGTGGTAATTAGTGATCTTACATGTAGACTGAGTGTTGGGCTTCAGTATAGTCTTGGTTTTCTGAGGTTAGAAATGTCTGAGAGTGGGTCTTTCTCCTCCCTGTTGCTCATCCCTGCAGTAGGGATATGAGGAGCAGAGCTGTGATGGTTTGTTGCGTGTCGGGCTGTATGAAGTCCTGAGAGCTCAGTCTGGTTTTCTGTCCTTCATGGCATGAGGTTGCCTTTGTGAACCAGCTGGCTGGGAGGCTAGTGGGGAGGCCCCTGTGTGCCTTTGGAATCGGGGTACAGCTTTTGCAGATGGCTGAGAGCTGGTTGATGTTCTCTGTCTGTGTAATCAGGAGAAGCTTAGTACTTGGAAATATCAAATCTGTATGGAAAAAAATCTTGGAGCATTCCCTGTACTTCTGTTACCCATCTGCATGTGGATGGATGTTTGCTGAACTGTGGTTTAAAAATCCAAGAAGGGAGCAGCTTCTTCCTCAAAACAGGTACCTGTCCCTGGAGAGCCTGTACCTTCCCTGCAGGAGCTATCAATATCTTACTGAGAACTCACATGACTTGCACATGCTCACAAAACAAAGTAGTCACGTGCATGTTTTGTGGAAGGAGGCAAACATTCAGCCTGTCCCCCAGCTGAACTGGAAGTTGTCTCTTAGGTGGTATGTGAACCCTTACCTTTAATACAAACCAGAGCTGAAACAGAATTGTGTGGTGGAAGCTGATGCCTCTTTTTGACCCAGCTGTTTCGGGTTGGCAGTCTCCTGTCTACTGAACTTCTTGCTTATAAGACTGATCTCTAGGCTGTCGGTATTTACTGATCTAACGTGATGAGCACTCTCTTGTCTGTGTCCCTCCGT